GTGGGTGGAGATGGGGGGGGGGGGCTCCCACTCCTGAGTGCTCCTTTTCATATTTTAACCAGGGGTACCCATCCACTGGCAAATTTTACTGGTTGACCTGCCCCTTGAAAAGTCTCTGCACGGCCCTGATGAGGACAGAGGCCCATGTGCCCTGCGGGCGGGGAGGCGGGAGGTACCTTGGTGAAGATGGCAAGAGGCTGGCCGTACTGGTCTTCCTGGAGGCCCGACACAATGCCCTGGTCCGGGGCGGCCTGTCCGCCGCTCGGCTGCGGCTGCACCGTGATGGCCGAGCCCGACTCGCCGTCTGTCACTTCCCCCACCGCCGCCTCCACAGGGCTTCGGTCTTCCAGCACCCCGGGGTCCAGCGTCTCCCAGTCACTCTCCGATGACACGGGGGACGACCGAGATGGCAGCTTCAGGTGCTGCTTCTCTGCTTGCTCTGGGGCAGCTTCAGGCACGGGGACGCCCATTTCTTCTGAATCCTCCAGCGGCTCCTGGGGGGTGCCGTCAACGTCCGTGACGGACACAGAGATGAACTCCTCGGGGGCGGGGGGAGCCGTCACGGGGGCGGGGTCCTCGGACACGCTCCCCCTCGGCCGATAGTGGGAGGAGTCTGCCAGGCCGTGTTCGATCATCCCTGCGGGTGAGGAAGCCGCAATGAAGCCTGTCGCTCCCAACACCAGCCACTGATCCATCAAAAGTACCTCCAATTATTTACCTTTTTCATTTAATTTTTTTAGCAGTGAGTTTTATCGACAGTGATGCACATTTTTTTGAGGAAGCAGGGCCAGACGGTCCCTGGAGCAGCCGGAGTTAAGGGCCTCGCTCAGGGGGCCCGATGGTGACATCACTCTGCTGACCCTGGGATCTGAACTGGCAACCTTCCGATCACAGACACAGCATCCTAACCCACTGAGCTACACAGTGCCCCCTCTTATCAAGGCGGGTCATGACAGAGGACTGAACATCAACCACAAGGTGGATGTTCTTACAGGGAGGAGCAAGATCCTCACATTAGAAAATCAAGCTAGAATCACACAACCTATTCTATTGCCCTTCCATAAAATGTTGTCTTTTCTGGATAACGAATAAGGAAAATAAGCAATTAATCTACAGAAGAAGATGCCAATCTTTGAGAAAAGACGACTATTTACCGGGAAAGAGTGACAGGATGGTCATTAGTGCCTCCACAAGTCTGCTGACTGGTGACACGTAGAAGAGGACCTAGAGGAGACCATGAACAGCCGGGGGAGTAGGCTCGTTATTTCAGCGATGCCGTAACCACATGTGACATCGGACGAACACGCAGTCGCGCTCCCGATCTTACCTTCCTCTCCAGCAGGATCAGTTTGAAGAGGATGAGGATCTGTGCAGAGAGAGGATCAAAAGCTCATCATGTCAGAACACGTACGAAGACGGCCGCCCCTTCTATCACCCCTGTCAATAAGATCAGGCATTTTATTTATTCTGAGGTTACCTTGTGCCGAAAGCGGAGTATCAAATCCCTCGAAGACATGCCTAGAAAGTAAACAAAGTATCGAAATATCAGTTCACTTCCAGTTTCCATCCGGGGGGGTGGATGCTGTCGAGGCGGTAATCTGGCAACCGGCACCTCATCGCTGTAAAAAGGCGTAAGAGCCGTAAGTCACTCAATCGTGATCAGCACTGAGTACCAACATTTCAAATGAACAAATCTTTAATACCGATAAAAGAGAAAATGGCAGCTTCTACTGTCTTTCTAGAGAAAAGCAATGTAAACAATGTTTATAAGTGGCACTGTGAATTTTTATAAGCAGTAAGGTGAGTATTCAAAAGCAGAGGTTTTTTTTACAGCAGAACTAAAAGGGTTTATAAGCTGTTTTATGAGTAGTAAGTTTATAAGCTGTACCATGGTCAGAGTTGGCGTGTCACTGAGGATTTGAGCAGAAACATTAGAGATTAACTTTGAATAGTGGGGAATTCCCCGGGGTCCAAGCCCACTCAATAGGAGTAGGAAGATGGAGTATGTGTCCCACTGACTCAAGAGCAGCTGCCGGTGGCGGCCAGCAGAGGGCGCTGTGTGGACGTCTTACCCAGGTAGACCTGAGAGCCCTCTGGGACGGTGCCAGGCAGAGAACCATTCATGTGCTCATACAGCTCCTGCGGAGCGAGGGAAGGAGAAGGAGAGAGAAAATATATTCGGAAGATTCCCACTGGTCCCTCGTTCTTCGTCAGGAGCAGGTGACCGTGTGCCGGCAGGCTGAGGCCAACGCTGCAGTCACACATCACGGTGCCCCGGGCACTCACCTTCAGGATGGATATCTGCGAGAAATCCTTCTCCTCGAAGTAGGCGTGTGTGATGAGCTGCAGCTTGGCTTGGAGCAGGCCGTACAGGGGCTGGGGGGCAGGGGGAGGGGTAAGAGCCTGCGGTCACTTCAGAGCAAGAAGCACCACAATGCCACACAATGCCACAGAGTTTCCCTCCTGGGCTGGAGCCCCGCGCCGACTACTGAGCAGGGTAATTATCGAACGAAAACTGAAGGAAAACGTCAAACGGAAATAATAGAGTAAAATACTGAGACAGAACTATTAATACTGCGTCAAATATTTTTAAGAATTCAAATACTTCCCGTTTTCAATACTATTTAAAGAAATAATCTGTTTATTTTTAATGACCATTAATATCATCTGCAGAATGTTTTGTCCATTGTGAGGACTTCAGCACATAATGCACACAGTATTCATGTAGGATTGTCTAAAGATCAGACACATAAAACAGTTCTACAACTTTCAGTCTCCCCCTAGAAATTAAGTTACTAAAACTTAAACTGAAATATGAACACTAAATATCTTTAAAATAAGAAAACTTATAACAACTAATAAAACTTCACTGAAAGCTAACATTAAACTATTTCAAATGGAAAATAATAATATCAAATTAAAAACTAAGAAAAAAAATCTGAATTGTACCCCCCCCCCCCATTGTAATAGCACTACTGAGGAGTGATGGGGGGGTATTTCTTTTAAAGCAGACAGAGGAGCGGTCAGGCGGCCGTGACTCACCACCCTGCTCAGGACGCACACGCTCTTCTGCACCGTTTCCCTGGTGACGTCAGCCTGCCGGACCTTCAGCGCCTGGGAGGGTGGGGGAGGGAGGTGACTATCACAACCGAGCGGCCTGCAGGCAGGGTGCCTCTGGGGTCGCAAACCCACACCCACCGCTTACGGCAAGAGCATGAATAAAACACGCAGTTTAGGGAAGGATGTGGAAGCGAGAATTTCCGCCCACGGCACGGACGGCGTGGAGATTTACTCGCCCCCCCCTCCCCCGTCACGCATCTCGTCGTCCACGGCAACTGGGCGAAAAGCCAGCTTTCCTTTCTGTTACCGTAAAAGGACGTTCTGCCCTGTCGACCGGGCACGTCGTTGGTAACCATGGCTACAGATTCAGAACTCGGGCTCGAGATTTACGGCTAAATACTTTACAAGTATCGGCAGGGGGGGGTAAGTCACACCCCGCACCAGCGACACCCTAACCCTCATGCCGGCATCCCTTATCATTCGGGGGAAAAGAAAAACAAGGCAAAGCAAAACAAAACATGTTCCACGTGTTTAAAGGCGGCACAGAGAGGAATTGTTCCGACATAGCGAGGCGTGAACGCAAACGCCTTGCGGCGTGTCAGTCTTACCTTGGCCTCTATCTGCCGGTAGCAGGAAACGGCATATACACACTTCATGTCTCCGTTCAGGGGGGGCAGGTGGAAGTAGATGGTGTCTGGGAGAGAGAAGAACACATGTTCAAAAGAATGCTGGCGTGCCAGTCAGACAGAGCGGACAAGGTAACACACAGCCGACCCCATTCTGGTTTAGTATGTCACTCAAGGGTTCAACAGCAGCTTTTACTTATTTCATGCAGGCAGAGCTTACAATCTAACACACAGCCAATCCCATTTGTGTTTAATGCTACTCAGTGGTTCAAGAGCAGGTTCTGTTTAGGTGATGGTTTCATCTAAAAGCAGAGAGAGTGTACAATCTAATGCACAACCAAACCCATCCTGGTGAAATATATTACTCAAGGGTTCAACGGCAGATTTCTGTTTTTCACTTTCTCTATCCGTATTTAGTCCCTTAACCAGCATGCCACCTGATGGCCATATCACCGTGACCCTTTGGAGCAGGGGTCTCCAACTCCGGTCCTGGAGAGCTACTATCCAGTAGGTTTTCTGTCCCACTTGGCTTCTGATGAGCCACACCTGTTCCTCAGTGTTCCACACTCATAACTGAATAGGCGGGAATCCTGCAGTATACATGCACAGTTTAAGTTAAAAAGAAGCCATCTCAGCTCAGTAGGCCAGTCATAAAAGCACACGGGTTTGTGTCGTGCTTAAAGGGACAGAGGTAACAATCGCCAATCGCGGGCCGAGCATTCCGTACTATTAAAGACACGCATACACACACACACGGCATGGTGATATCATATGACAGGAATGCTTAGAACAAGGGACAGGGGGACCATACCATAATTACAAAAGCGTAGGGGGGTAACTGAAAGTGTAATGCCGAATGAGCGTCTAAGGCAATCTTATGGGAAGAACTAGGTTCAGTCAATAGCTGTTCATATAGTGATAGGAATAAAATTGGATACACACACACACACACACACACACACACACACACGCATACGGTACCAGTCAAAAGTGGGGACATGCAAAGCCGCCTACAAAGCAGAGTGATAGTGTTGCATCACATAAGCATAGAGATGGTTTGGGAGGAGTTTCACCAGAGAGTGATGGAAAAGTGGCCAATGAGAGCTCAGCATATATGTGGGACCTCCTTCAGGACGGCTGGAAAAGCATCCCAGGAGGCACCTCATGAGACTGGTGTAGAGGAGACAGTAGGGTCAGTCAGTACCTGGAGCAATTGGGGTTAAGGGCCTCACTCAAGGGCCCAATGGTGGGATCATACTGCCAACCGTGGGATTTGAATCGTCCCACAAAGCTTTCCCCCCTCCCACACATCAAAGTTTTGAATACTTTTTTGGTCAGTGCATAATTCCGTAAATGTTATTTTAGTGTTGATGATGTCATTGTAATTATTTAAAATGTTTATATGTACTGTTATCTACCTTTCTGTAAGTAGTCCCCGCTCCGCCCCCTGACCCCCCGCAGACGCAGTCCCCGCTCCGCCCCCTGACCTCCCGCAGACGCAGTCCCCGCTCCGCCCCCTGACCTCCCGCGGACGTAGTCCACTGTGACTGAGATAAAGAGCCTTGAAGGCCAGACTCGAGACACCAAAGAAAAAAGGCGGGAATCTGGAGGTCGGCCCACCTTCTTGGTAGTTGTGGGCTCCATCGGGTAACGCCAAGAAGGGCAGGTACTTCCACTCCTGAGGGAGTAAGCTGCTGTCATGGCCCTCCTCGGGGAGGAGAGGGGGGTAGGAGAACTCCACCTGGGGGGAGGGGGAGGCACCAGAATGAGAGCGGGAGGGAGAGAGAGAGAAGTAAGGGAGTCCAAAGTCAGCACCATGCGGTCGAGTCACACAGTGGAGCACTTGACCCAGCAGGATATGAAAGCAACAAGAAGGTTTGCTTTCACAACACTGGCTGAACACATCATACAGGCACTGTGGAGAGGCAGCTTTACGCAGCTCATCCAGGACCAGGGCTGCCATCTTTGGTCAGCAGAATGCAGTGAGATTTTCAATTCCAGACAAGTCTGCACACACATTTATATGTATGAAAAGTTTTACTACCTTGTAAATAATCTGCAGGGTGTGCAAACTACCCCAACACTTTTGATGCAGCTAATTTTAGGTTTATAATGGAATAATATAAATATGCCGTAAGATTGCTTGTGTGAACGTGAACGTTTGAAAGTGTGAATGTCACGCCAGATGCGTGAGATCTGGCAGCCCGGGTGACATTCGTTATTCGTTATCTGCTCCTCATCCTACAAAGTGAGCTGCCTCATCCCCATCTCATCCTCTACCAGATGGACTTTGGGGAAAGTCGCACCTCCAATACACCCGTCCAGCTCTCATGGGCGCCTCAATGGCGTGACTTTTTACAAACTCCCTCCTCAGTATTTCCAGCTCCGCATGTATAAATAATAAAGGTCAAGCCGGACCGAGAGCACCAGCAGGAATTATTAAAGAGCTCTTCAGGGTCCGTGACCGTGGAAATCAGCACAAATATTCACGCCGGAACGCATTTTCGCCAACCTGATGTTAACTAGGGCATTGTGGGAAATGTGGGTCTCGCCGTTCGGCAGTTAATGAACAGGCTCCACTTCACAGGTTCAATCAGTTCAATACAGTGAATGCAGTAACACTGCCAGTAACTGTGAAAGTGACCTTAAGCAGGTGATTCCACCCCACAGGGTGAGCAGTGGACACAACACACTCCCCATGCAGATGTGGCCACGCCAAGTTCTCTGTCACATAAAACAAATTTAGGGGGGATCTTCCCCTCCCCATACAAGCCACGATGGAGCCTACACTTCCATCAGCGACAGGTGGAAGGTAGGCAGGGGAACCTTATCAGGAGCAGGAGGGAGACCAGCAGTCCCTCTCAGGTGACACTCAGCACACGCTCTTCTCCATGACAGGAATTGCGTTACCTGGAACAAAACCACCCCCATGTATTGCAGTCCCAGTGGGGACTTGGGCTGTTTCACATTGAAGCAGCTTCACCAGCCCAACTTTCCCCCTGCTGGTGGGAGTCCACCTGAGACTGCTGGAATCTCTCCCGGGAACTGAAGATCCCATCTCATTTGAATGACTGACAGATGGCGAGTGGCGCTGAGGCGAAACAGATCTGGGGCTGAATGGCTGCCGATTATCGCGGCATCTGCGTTGCATAATGACCATAACATTTGTCAGGTGCAAATGCTCCATTCTCACTCGGCTTGAAACCGGATCTAAGACCATCGTGTTTAAGTGCTCTGCTCTTCAGTCAATTCTTGGTTGTATTCAACGGGCCAGCGGCTCACATTCAGTCAGCATTTTACCCGGATATATTACTAGAGAGACTTTTGCGGGCTTTCCCCATGCAGAAGACAACAGGATGTCTCGACAAGCAGGCAACACGGTAGCCAGCTCCAAGCCTAAAAGTTACAAAACCCTAAGCTAACCCTAAACTACCCCAGACTCCTTTCGCTCATTGCCTGCACCCTGAAATTCAAGCTGCCGTTCAGTCTCTCTCGCTCTCTGACACGCCATCCATTCTTTATGAGGTGTGAGTGAAATCCTCCCATCTTTCTCGTTTGAGTCGTTCTCACATCTCCCCAGTTCCTCTTGCCTGACAGGGTTTGCTTCTGTCTGTCATCATTACGCCGACATGCTCCTGTTTACCCCTAAGTACTCATATGGCTGGAAGGTATTTGGAAACATTACAGTCCGCATTTCAAGTTACAATGCAAACAAAACAAAGTTACGTAATCATTTCGATTACTAACGAAAACCATGTTTATTTTGCGTCTTCGTTTGCTTATTAATGCTGATTTTCTGCAGATGTTCCAATGGGAAAAGAGGTTCCTGTACAGTTGTCGCGCTTATTTCTCTACGCCTTCGGTAGCTATAATGGGCCAGGTTCCTGTAGAGTCATTTATCCGATTTAACGTTGCTTTCAGCCCATGCACAGTGTCTGCCATCCTCACCTCTCATCCGCCTGTTTTACAGTCTAATATTTTCCCGCGTTATTGTCTCGTTAAATAAAATAAACAGGGCTGCTGATATCTGGATGGACTTTGATAAAGCTCAGAACATCCCTCATCTCGAACTCCCCGGCAGCCGAAGCCCAGGTCCTACCCCCACGATCTCACCTGACAGCCCTTCTTGTGATGAAATCCAACCACCACAATATGAAGTACGGGTCCCTTGGTTTCCTCTTTGCTCTGCGCCTCCATGACCCCTGCTTAGGTAGCGATGTTTTGTATATATATGCGTGTGCGTTTTATTGCTGCTTTCTGGCCTGCGGGATCAGTTCATACGCAGAGCGGCACTAACCCGTTGGCTGCCCGTGACAGCAGCCCCAAGCAGCGGGACTCCGCTTCCGCTCCGCCTGACTGAAGCCCCCTGACGTCAGCGGCAGAGACGTCTCCAGGAGCAGCACCACCGTCCGGCCACTTGTGAAAGTTATGGTGAAAACAAGTTGTGTAAATGACTGCTATGTAAACAGCACGCAGGGTTTGCTTTCGATTTACAAAAACCTCCGCGTTTCCCGCTTAAAATTAAACAGTAACCATACATAGTTTATTCAGATTTTTGTCTGTTCATTTGCCTCAAAAGTGGAATAGTCATTGCAGGTCACCGTTGTGCCCTATAATAGTAAAACAAATGTAAGGTTCAGCTTGGTGCGGTGATAGACACACACAATACAACTCAATGAAGTAGAATTCCCGCAATGATCGATTATTGTTGTCTAACTCGAAGGGTGCTTTTCTTCGATCGATAGCACGCCTTACTATCCTTATAACATGACGACAGCTGGCCCCGCAATGATCTATTATTACTGTCTGACCCGACGCGCGCTTTTCTTCGATCGATTGAGCGTCTCTGCTCCCCTTCTAACATGGCGGCGACTCAAGCGACGAATCCTTCGCAGCTGCTCCCTCTTGGTATGCTTGTCTTCTGCGTTTCAAGATAATTGTGGCGGTGTTTCAAAACGGGTTTACGGGTACATTAAGTCACCTGTCTAAAGATACTCAATCAGTAGCTATCCTCTATTAAGAATTGTTTCTGAGAGAAAAAGGTACATCGACTAAGCACTGTAGCCCTTTGCTAAAAGAGGGTCCGTACATCTCAGGTACCATCCAGGCCATTTATTTCAGATATTATGTCGTGGAAACCCATAAACTTCATTCCACGGTAATTAAATCTGTGGGCGTTCGCTGTTCACTTGGTTTGCCAATGTGCTATACATTCATTTGTATTTCCATCTAATTGTATACCTATGTTTTGTAAGTCAATTAATTTGAGGGGTCGTATTTCAATCAGTTATTTGGAAGGATGCTCTCCACCTTTGATTTTAAAAAATCTGCATACCGAACTCATCGATCAGGTCACTCCCATGTCTTCTGCTGAATGCTGTGCGCTGTTTACTATCGCTATTCATCTAATAATGATTGCCCCACAGAGCTGGTGGATAAGTGCATCGGCTCCCGCATCCACATCGTCATGAAGAACGACAAGGAGATTGTCGGCACATTGCTGGGCTTCGACGACTTTGTCAGTATCCTTTGAAGAATTTAAGTTTCTGAGTCATCTTTATTTTTTAATTTTGAAAGTTTGGTATTAGTTTCAAATGACTACTATTTGTTACTGACTAGACTCTTAAATTGGCAGTTGTGATCCATTAAGAAACTTCCTTCACCTCAGATTTAAGACATGGTGCTTGAAGATGTGACAGAATTGTGAGTAGTACTTTTTTTTAATGCTGAAAACAGTTTGAGTATAATACAAGGTAGAAGGCAACTTGCCAGTTCAAGATTATTTGAACTCCAGTCAAAAGTATACTTAATTAGCGGTTTTAGTCCATTAAGAAACTCATCAGTAAGTAATTGTTTCCCCAGTACATGGTTTTATTTTAAACCTATGGTGATGTTTTTCTATAAATGTTATTAATCTGATTGACACTGCTTATCAGTGGAATGTGTGTGTTGCTGTCAGGTTCAGGAGTGGTTTTCTCAATGTTTTGTGGGTCTCTGTGCTGTGGTGCCGTGTAAAAGGTCTGTTTTTGGTGGATCATGAGACTGGTTTTCGTAAGAGACAACTGACGGCTCTTTCTTATCCAGTGAGATTACACCAGAAGGAAGGCGGATTACCAAACTCGACCAGATCTTGCTCAATGGAAATAACATCACCATGGTAGGTAGAAGTGGATTCTCCTCCTAATGTTTTAATCTCACATCTGCAGTGTAACCTTTGACTCTTCAGTCTTGAAGAACGACATATTGATGCATACCACTGTTTGGTAGTAACACAAGATTAGTAGTTTTTGCTACTTTTTGATGAAACAAGTTTCCCACTTGGATGTTTTGGTTATTCTGGCTTTTAATGTCTTTAATATATTGTACAATTTAATAATGGTGCATAACATTTTTCCATTGTTTTCCTTCAGTTGATTCCTGGAGGTGAAGGACCTGAAGTTTGACAAGATGTTCTGTTGGCCCTTTTTGCTGTGTTTGAGGACTTTTCGGTCCCTGTTCCCCTGATTCATTTTGGTTTTTAGTTTTCTTTGGATTGACAAGGAATTATTTTGTAATGAGTGAGCTGTTGATTTGTGTTGTATAGAATGAGATGAAGACAAATGTGCAGTGTAAATGTACAACATTTAACTGCCTTTTCTTTGTTACAAATAAAATGCATTAAGAAATGCACCCTTTGGTATGTTTGTGTTTTACATCTATCCTCTCAACTCTGTCAATGCATCAGTTTTAGAAAAGCAAGTTGGTACAAGTTATGATAAAAATCAGGGGTGAGTTTCCCAAAGCCGCCTTAACGCTACGTCGTTTGTTAGTTCTATCTTTTAATACAGAACTTAAGAACGACGTAGCGTTAAGAACGCTTCGGGAAACTCACCACAGGTCAATATTCTAGCCCCTTTCACTCAGGCTGTTTTAGGTTTGCTTTGTTTTTTCAGTTTTAAACTCTGTTAGTGCATCCTCTTGTTTTCAGCCCTCTGAAGGTGCATCACAGCTTTAATTGCCATAATTTCTGAATAATTATAATGTAATTGATAGTTTGTCAGGGAAGGGACTTCATGACACGGCTTTGTGTATAAAATACACAGACGAAATGAGGAAAACATTGCCTGGGTAGCAAATGATAGTCCAGATAAAGTGGCTAGTCGATTAAACACTTTAAAGTTTAGGTGGTTGGTGGGGATTTTAGCGTGGAGAGGAGCCTGACAGTCTGGATGAAGAAGCTGATACTCTTATCAGAAGAGGTCTGGATGCTGTGATACTTTTTACAGGGGATAGAGTCCATTGGAGGGGTTATCCGCTGTACTCGAGGCTTTGTGAATGCAGGGTGTGCTGTAATTATCCTGCGTGGAACAGCACACCCTGAGTGACAGGGGCCCTAAAAAATTAGGAAAATAACTGGATTGGTTTGGACTGGGGGGCCTAATATGATATGCTTTCATGGGGCCCAAAATCTCTAGCAACGCCCCTGCCTGTCTCTAAATGACCGATTGGTCGCTGATCTGAAACGAGTTGAGCTACTTTATCGAGTAAGGCTACCGTAGTGCTAATCAATAGCCCCAAAAAAACCCGTAAAACTCTAACCCTAACCCCCAAAAAACCTGTAAAACCCTAACCCCCAAAACCCCCCTAAAACCCTAACCCCCAAAACACCCCTAAAACCCTAAGCCTAACCCCTAAAAAACCCCTGACCCCCAAAAACCCTTAAAAGCTCAACTCGTCGGAACACCGGCATGCATTCTAAGGCAAGGATGCCTTTTTCGGCATAACACCGGCAAATCTACACTAGCCCTTTAAGAGCCGTCATTTCGGCTCTAAACGACTGCGCCTCGCTCCTGAAAGGCGATGCCACTTTGACACAAAATGGCTCCACACAGGACACAGTTTCCAGCCTGAAACGAAAGTACATTCTGAGCTATCGAAACAAAAACAATATCCTTACCTGTTCCTCCTTTACGAAGGCGCTGGTGGTAGAACTCTGGCGGTTTTTATTTTTGGACTTTTTAACGTATGTAATACGTTTTCTGCTATCCCAAGCAGATACCGGAATTTAAGGCAGTCACATATGTAAGCAGCTATAAGCCAAAATAAGGTAAACTCTACTAGGCAATTATTGATAAACTTGCTTTCATATTCCTGGTTTAATATCTGCTGTATATTAAGAAAGTATATCGCATATGTATTTAACAACTTACTTTTTTTGTAAGGGTGTTTCAACTCCTTGGTTCAACAACCAAAGTTTGGTGTGTTTACTTTTATTTTACATTACTTTTTTACTGACTTTAGTTTGCCGTTGTACTTGCCGTTTGCCATATTTATATAAATATGCATGTATGAATGTTTTTAGTTCATATGTAATAATAAATTCAACATAAGATAAAGAATCGCTTTCAGCAGGCGGGGTACGGTTGTTACATGTATTCCAGGAAATACTTGCTGATTACAAACGTCCATAGCTGTGCACTTCTCAGTTGCGCTGCGCATAATCTGTCATTCATCTGTAGGTCGTATTCATATGTTGCCAGTTTATTGGGATCAGCTCCTCGTTAGTGCAAACACCCTGATCCTCCAAACAGCAGTCATGTAGCCGCAGCGTAATACATGCAGCTCCCAAGCAGGCAGGATATGTTCACTGACTGCTCAGCGAAACATTAAAAGCTTGATCCGAACGTGGTGTGATTGCTGGTGCCAGATGCCGTCATTCCGGCATCTCAGGAAGTGCTAGCTTCCTGGGATTTTTACAGATTACAGTGTTTGGAGTTTATAGAGAATGGTGTGATGAAGAAAAGGAATTTATGTCAGCAAAAGCAAGTTATTAATGAGAGACTCCTTAAAGCTAACAGGAAGGCCATAACTGTTAAAATAATCAGCTTGGTATAACTTTTGTGTGGAGAATTACTTCTCTCAATACACATTTGCCCAAATTTCTCTGGAGTCAGTGTGGGTCCTATACTATCTAGGTGTATGGCCATTGGATATAGTTTTTAGGTACTGCTCCTGATACTGGCTAGTTAGTGTTTATGTGACAGCGACACTTCCACTGCTCTGTATCCCCAGCGATGACAGACGTCTCCAAGCGGCTGGAGGAAATCCGGAGCAGGGCGGAGACTTCCCTCTCGTCCAACGGGTCTGCTCAGGAGGTGAAGGATGACGTTCAGGCCATGGCCAACATGCCCATCCCGCTGTCTGCCAAATACTGCCATATTCCTGCAGAGATCATGGTGAGGGAGAACAGCGCTGGGGACTCCTGGCAGGAGGTAAGTTGTCTGTGAAAAACCTGTGGAGCTTGATCTTAAAAGGCGCCTGTTCTTCAGTGATGCAGAGGATGAATAGGGATAACTTAGGCATGATGTCACTCTGACCTGCTCACTCTTCTTCCTCTTGCTTAGCATCCACTCTTCTCATTCTGTCTTTTTTCCCTCAGAGTGTCACCTCCTTGGGGAAGCTCTACACGGCCCTGAGCATCCTGGAGAAGTACGGCCTCAACCTGACCAGCCCGACCAGGCCCAAGTACTGGCGTAGCGTCAAGTTCAACAACCCCGTCTTCAGGGCCACTGTGGGCTCTATCAAGGTAAGGCGCCTTATGATGGCCCCTTGCAGTGATGGCCCAATTGACTTCTTGTCTTTTGTCATCCATCTAATAAACATTAATGGTAGAAGTTGGCGGAGGCAGGGTCCATAGGAACCAGGGGTGATGGGGGTCATGTGTACCCCCTAGTATTTAATTTGACTTCATTTGACCCCACCCCCAAAAAAAACCCTTTATATTTACATGCTTTATCAGGGTGGAAAAGAGGTGCTCCATCTCTACGGATACTGCAGCGAGCAGCCGGATGGGCTGTCCTTCCCTGAAGACATCACAGATCCAAATGTGAAGGAGGTCGCTGCCTTGACTCTGGAAGTGATGACCCTGCGACTGGAACTGGACATGCTGATAAAGGTCGAGGCTGCTCTGCTGTCATGTGACCTTCCAGCAGATATGCTCTGATTTGGTCATGGGTCACAGAATAATTAATAGATGTATGAACGGAGAGTTTTCAGCAGTCACTCATGTTACAGCTGTGTGCCCATTACTGTAGGACAGGGCTATTCAAATCACGGTCCTCAAGGGCTGAGCACTGCTGGTTTTCCAGCTTTCCTTTACCTGACAGCCAGTTGTGAAGCCTCTGGCCAATTAGAGCCAGAAATTATTAAGCTAACTGCCTGGGAGACTTGAAAACAAGGCCTGGATTTGGAATCGAGGGCCAGATTTGAATAGGGGGGGCTGTAGGATTTCCACAGCATCGCAAGAGCAAGCACATCCACTTTGCATCTTATTCCATTAAGTGTCTCATTAACTCTATTAAACTTTTCATTTCAGAATACTCACTGCAGTCCAGAGATCTTTAAGGCTATAATTCCTTACAAGGGAGCAGAGGATGTGCAGGAACAGGTAAATGACTGTTTTTGGCTCTGTGCTGCTTAAAAGACATTTTGTCTTCGTGTGTAGTTTTCATAGGTAATATAGTGGCACATTTGTGCAGATAATCAAGTGAAATGTCCTGCACACTTCATTCATGCCCAGTTCAAATTATGCTTAAATTTGCGGTTATTTGTTTGAAGGTAAAACTTGAACCCAGAGCTACAGCCCTCGGGGGAGGCTGACCATGCACTCGTCATAAGGGGCACCAGTTTAATGGGAATCTTGCTGATTTTACAGAAGTGGCCCCCTTCAGACGCTACGTCCCTTCCCGGCATCGGGGACACGCCTGATGGGATGCCACAGCCGCAGTCCCCAACTCCCCCGGCCAAGCAAACCCCGAGTCCTGGAAGCACACCCAGTCCTGGGGCACCCAGTACAGCAGACACAGGTACGATCCTCTACTCTCAGGCTTCACAGCGTACTCCACTCGCTTCACAGGACCGCGCACGTAGGTGTGATTACTGCGCTGTTTGCATAAGGTCTGATAACATAGAATTAAAGATTTTTTTTTCATGTTTTGTTTGTGATAGGTGACGAGTTTATCGTTATCCTACAATTCTCAGTCTCTCTCTCTCTCTCTCTCTCTCTCTCTCTGTAAGTAGGGGGATGTAACATGTGTGGTAACACTCCCACAGTCATGTGTGGGGCCTGTTCCTCCATTAAATTCTGCAACAACTGCGACCTGGTCTACCACCGCCACCCTGACAGAGCCAGTCACGTACGGGAGGCCCTGCAGGCTCCTGTCCTCGGTGAGCTAAAGGCGGGGGGAGGGACGTGCGATTGTCCTGGGAGGAAAAGGCTTTCTATGTGACTAATCAGGTTTCTCGTTCTGTGCCGTGCTCGGAATTCCTGTCGCCTGCCTTCCCCGCAGATAACTGCACCATCTGCGGCAGCTTCCCCGTCTGGGCCTACTGTCCCACTTGCAGGCAGAGGCAGTGTGAGACCTGCGACAAGCTGTATCATTCTCACCCGGAGCGCCGGGGCCACAACAGAATTCCAGTGATGGCTCCGCCGAAAAGCATGAGGTAGGAAAGGGGATGAAGGTCCAGCTGGAAGTGCACTGAGACGAAGAGCACTGCTGCCTAGAGGGCATGCGCATTTTATATTGTCTATTCATTATCTAAATCTCAGTCACAGTCGATCAATTTCTCAGTCAATCTCAATCAATTCCTCTCCCCGCAGATCCTCGCTATCTTCATGGGAGTGCACTTATTGCACAACAGTGAATGAGGTTCAGGCGGTGCTGTGTGGGACCTGTGACCGACCCAGGCTAGCCTCTGCTGCCTCCACTGTCCTGGAGGACTCACTACAGGCTTCCATCGTCTCAGGTCAGCAGCTTTGGTCTGACTCAAAGGCCAACTGAATCAATTCAGTTCAGCTCAGGTATCATCCAGGCTGAAAGTGCAGGAATGACAGAGACTGTCGTATGCAAAGTCTCCCATCTGCCTTCCCTCCCCCCAGAGTGGCAGTGTAAAAGCTGCACAGTGATGAACTCCAGCAGCAGTGTGCTTTGTACGGTGTGTGAGCGCCCCCGCTTGGCCACGCGTCCACCTGTGACGTCCGCACACCCGGCGACAGCAACCCCAAAAAGTCTGGGAACCGCAGACACACAAGTAATTATCGGCCACATTGAATTGATCTGCCCGTGTTGTCTTTTGATCGCAGCCTGTAGATCAGTCTTCCTCAAGGCAGTCCTCGGAGAGCCTCAGACATTTTTGCTTCCTCTCAGCTCCCAGCACAGCTGAATATAACAATCAAGAACAAATCAAAAAGTCAAGAATAGTGAATACCTGGTGCAAGTGTGCTGGCAGCGGGAGAAGGGGCAAAGATGTGGACTGTCTGGGCGTCGCTAAGGACTGGGTCGAGAAACACTGATGTGGAACATAAGTTCATGTCTTCTCAGTTCAGTGCTGGTTCATGGTCAGCCTAGCTTAGCTCTGACTGGTTCAGAGCAGATTCATGAGCGAGTGGCACGGTGATCGAATTCTCGTCTCCACCCTCTCTTTAGTGGATGTGCCAGTTCTGCACCTATGCTAACTCCAAGCCCGCTGACACATGCGAGATGTGCAGCCTGCCCCGCACGGGCCAGGCGCCCAAGACCCCCACAGCCCCCATGCTTGGCACGCGACTGAATGCGCTCTCCCTGAAGACTCCGGCCCCGGCCATAGAAAACTCCGACTTGAAGAGGCAGAAGCAGATGAGGGACGAGGGCCTGAAGCTGATCCAGGAGATTCGAGTGGGTGGAGCTTATGAAATCTCACTGAACTTCCGTCTCACAGGTTATCAGTGGTCCACCCGTGCAATCCCTGGGTACATTAATGGGTAGTGGACAGACATTAGCACAGCAACCCTGGAAGTAGTGGGTGCTGAGGGTGCTTCAGCACCTCCTCTGGTTGTTGGTGGTAATGCAGTGTCAGAATACAGTTTTTGTCTACAAAAAACAGCGTTACGTTAATTATCTGCAGTGAGAATGGTTGCAGCCAGCCTGCGTTTTCATGCTTGTCATTTTATTGTAAGTTGTTGACAGCTACCGATAATGCAAACAAATTTCAGTGAAGGCTATCGGTCATTCCGATTTCAGCATAAATTAAGCTCATGCTCTGTTTACATTGGATGCTCATAGCTTTGACTGTAGAACCCGTTAATGAAAATGGATGGATGGAAATACTAACAGCTTGCCTGCCTTCCTGTTTCCGGCTCCTTCTTGCAGGAGGGGGAGAAGAGAGGGGTGACCCCCGAGGAGGTGTACGCCGCTGTGTGCGTCTCCGGGGGCAGCAGCGTGAACCCCTGCGACTGGCTGCACTCGGAGCTGCCCCACCTGCTCGACGAGATCTGTGCCATGGCCGCCTCTGTCCAGCGGGACCCGGGCGACCCCAGCGTGCGGCTGTCCAGGGCCGAAGCGAAGCGCGCGTGGTTGGCGGCCGGCGGCGACGCCGAGAAGGCCGTCACCCAGGTGCTGAGGAACAGGTGGGCCAAGGTGAGAGGGAGAGGAGGAAAGCGAGAGATGCCGGTGCTCCCATTTCTGCACGTTTAAAGGGAATTTCCGCCAGGTTCAGCCACTCACTCACCCTTTCTCCAGATGGAGGAGCTCTCCTCTCTAGGGTTCCGGGAGGCAGACAAGTGTGAGGAGGCGCTGAGGATGAGCGGAGGGGAGGTGCGTGGGGCCCTGTCCTTCCTGCAGCGTCCCCTACTGGAGGAATTCCACAAGCGCGTGTGGAGCGACCTGCCTGAACCCACGATCGACATCAAAGACCCCGACAGACAGGTGCCGGACTGCAGGGGAGGGCCTGATCCCCGTCAGTGCGTCAGTCTAGCAGCCAGTCTGATCGTTTTTCCCTCTCTCAATCCCGCCCCCTGGCCCTCAGCGGATGTGCCGGCGGCTCCTGGCTCTGTACAGCCTGCCGAGCTGGGGGCGCTGTGAGCTGGCACTGTCCCTACTGCAGGAGCCCGACATCCAGTACTCCCTGGAGGACGTACTGCAGGCTGTCCGTGAGTCACATGACCGTGACTTCATCCGCCGGGTCCTCGCCAAGGAGTGCCCATGCTGCCTGTCTGTATTCCCCCACAACAAGGTACCACCACCTGTCCATGTGTCTGAAGGGGGCCACGGGGTGTATTACTAAACTGATCATCACCTATAAGTAAAATTTAAAGCTACTAACGTTACCCAACATGAATCTCTACCTATGGCTGTTAATCATAGAGCTCAACCAAATAGAATCAATAAAAGTGCACTGATATAGTTGCATACATCATAATTTAATTTGCGATCAATTATAATTCAGTACATTTGTAGTGAATCTCTCAGCTGAGAAGTGTCAGTTCTGAACAAGCCTCACCTCCTAATCTGTCTGTGTGTCTCAGATGCGGTCACTGACCTCCTGTGAGTGCTCCGTGTGCTGTGAATGCTTCAAGCAGCACTTCACCATCACAGTGCGAGACAAACACATCAGAGAGATGGTTTGTCCCGTGTGTGGAGGTCCGGATATCAATGACCCCGAGCATCTCAACACCTACTTCTCCACTCTGGATATCCAGGTACATGGACAGGGTGTGTAGTTACACCCGGACAGGTACATCTTGATGACTATGCGGCAATAAATGCACTAACTGACCTGCATCTTGCTTTCCCCAACGCATGTTTTCCTACGCGCTTAGCTGCGCGATTGTCTGGAGCCCGAGGTATACGAGCTCTTCCACAAGAAACTGATGGAGCACTCCCTCATCCAGGACCCCAAATTCCTGTGGTGCAGCCATGTGAGTGGAGCTTAGCACCGACACTCGCCACTTAGCACCGACACACCCGCCACTTAGCACCGACACCCGCCACTTAGCACCGACACACCCGCCACTTAGCACCGACACCCGCCACTTAGCACTTAGCCACTTACATTAAACGAACAAATGGAATGGCTAGGGTGCCTGTGAGGAGAGGTTTGGGAACCAAAGTGGGGTTCATCTAGCCATCCAACAAGGTATCAGTAAGTTTTTGGAGAACAGAAGAAATTCTTACTCATTTTTGTTATGTTACTTATAGTTTGCACAAGTTCAAATGCTAAATTGTGTTTTTGTTCTGGGCACATATACACTTACTACCCAGATAACGACCTTCAAACATTTCCTTTGGCTGCCTAAGACACAGTAACTGTATATCTCAGGCTGGCTGGACAGATGACAGGCAGATACATCAGTGAGACCCCAATAAAAATGTGCAACACTCAACACTCGTGTTTCTCTGGCTCCTATGGTTGCTAAGCACTGTCTGTCTCCTTGCTAGTGCTCCTACGGATTCATCTATGATGGAGAGCAAGCCAAAGTCACCTGCCCTCAGTGCAAGAATAGCTTCTGCGCACAGTGCAAGAAAGCTGTGAGCATGTCGCCGGAATCACAGCCACTCTCACTGTGCTCTGAGACAAGCGATAAAGTCAATATCACCGACTGGGCCAATGTAGAGCTCCTGTAGCTCAACAAGTAGGGCGGTGTGCTACATCACAAGGGTTGTGGGTTCGAATCTCAGGGTGCATACATGATTTGTAATAAATTGTAAGCCGTCCCTCTGCTGTAAGTAGCAATAACATCAGTTCAATTTCAGTTTGCAGCTTATCGGTCTGAATATTTGACTGGTAAAGCGTACTAGTTTTCATACTAGTTTCCTTACCCATCATGCTCTCTGCCACCTGTCTCTCTGTGCCCCTCGACCCCCCACAGTGGGAGGCCCAACACGCCGGCCTCTCTTGCGAGCAGTTCCAGGCCTGGAAGCGAGAGAACGACCCTGAATACCAGAAGCAGGGTCTGGCCGGTTATCTCCGTGACAACGGCATCAGTGAGTCCCTGGCACACGTACACACACATGCATACAGTGTGTGCCGATCACGGTTTCAGTTTCTAATGCCTCGCAGCATCATTGAAAATGCAGACTGCTTTACCCATGGTGCATCACTTCCTCTTAATGACCATAATAATTATAACCATTTTATTAAGCACGGTGTCTCTTTAACAACACAAATTAACTGTAAAAGCTCACTCCGTCTTTGCTTGGGTGGAATTACAGAACAGTGTTAGTCAACCCGGGGACCACCTGACAGTCTACATTTTTGGTGCTTCCCAACTCCCAGCATACCTGAACCAAGCAATCAAAAATGAACCAAACGATCAAGGATGAACCAAAACCTCAAGAGCGCTGCAAACTTGGTACAGGTGTGCTGGGAGCTGTGGAGGGAGCAAAGATGCAGACTGTCCGGGGCTTCCCTGGGACTGGGAAGTGGCTGGGAAACACTGTTTCAGAAATAGAGTGGAAAGCATCATTAAGCAGAACGAGCTCGAGGTTCATTCTCTCTCTGTCTCAGCTTGCCCCCACTGCCGGTTCAGAACGAGCTCGAGGTTCATTCTCTCTCTGTCTCAGCTTGCCCCCACTGCCGGTTCCAGTACGCCCTGACCAAGGGAGGCTGCATGCACTTCACCTGCTCCCAGTGCCGCTACCAGTTCTGCAGTGGCTGCAACAACCCCTTCCACACCGTAAGTGGCTGGGGAAGCCATGGCAGAATCACTGCGTGTCAGGAAAATGTCTGCAGGTGCTGGTGGTATTTGTTACAATAGATGGGCACTTGTAGCAGTTTGCGAGTGACAGTACAGTTTACAAACTGGACAGTGAGCCACATTTAACTGTTTATTGACGTCGGATCATGTGACTTTATACTTTGACACCCCCCCCCCCCCCCCCCCAGACTTGCTCTGTGGCCCAGTGCAGCGTGTCGGGGCTCCATGCACATCATCCCCGGGACTGTCTCTTCTACTTGAGGGACTGGGACCCGGTCCAGCTGCAGGCTCTGCTTCAGGTACAGTGCAGTGCGTCACACTGTGCAGTGACCAGCATGCACAGTGTAATCATCCGCCGACCTGATCCTGTCCAGGAACATCTGATCGCACTTATGACCCACCAGGGCTGAAAGTTGATGTGGTGGGTGTTAGAGGATGTATTTTACCACGTTATATAGCCCCCCCATTATATAAATATTTGCTGCTTGGCAGAATCTCCCAGGCTGTTCTTTGTGGCCGGTCCATCCCTGGAGCCGCCACTGCAGAGAAATAGTTAAATGTGTGTAATATTATGTTACACAGTATATTTAACCGCTCCTATATTGAGCAAGATACGCCATGATTGACTCACGTCCTCACTTCGGGGACGAAACCCAGACATAAGCTGAGGTATATCTGTACTGTGTAAATGTCTTAAAGCATTAAAGGAGATGTTTAAGCTAATTATCTGGGTAGTAAGCATATATGTGCTCCATGTATCCCTTGCAGCTCACTAAATTAATGAATGAAATTACTTTAAAAAGTCAGTGAGGTATCGATTCACCAAACACAGGTGGGGTAGTGCAAAATACATGTGTGTATTGGACATTCGCTGCAAATACTGGGGTGACTTTAGGAGCGGTTTTGCAGTGGCTAAGCTGACAAACTTTGACAGACATAATGAAATAGTTTCCATTAGTTTTCATCAGCCGCTCATTTACGCCTGTCCTCCCGTATGGCTTTGCAGAAAAATGGCGTGGAGTTCAACACGGACCCCCCCCAGGGAGCACAGCCAGGTAATATTAGCCGCCTGCACAGCGTATAATGCTAGAACAAAAACACACACACACGCACACTTATACACACACACACACACACGCGCACGCACACACACAGTTTCCCACCATCAGTGTTCAGAGTGGATTGTACTAAATAGCGTAGAGTAGTACTTCATAATCTAAACACTGTATTACGCAAATAATCAGAAGTGATATTTTTATTTATTTGGAAGATGCCTGTATGCACAGTGATGTACATTTTTGAGAAAGCAGGGTCAGACAGTCCCTGGGGCACTTGGGGCTTAAGGGGTTAAGGGCCTTACTCAGGGGCCCGGCAGCGACATCACTCAGGGCCCCGGCAGCGACATCACTCAGGGCCCAGCAGCGACATCATTCAGGGTCCTGGGAGTGACATCACTCAGGGGCCCGGCAGTGACATCACTCAGGGGCCCGGCAGTGACATCACTCTGCCGGCTCTGGGCTTTGAACTGGTGACCACACAGTATTGTGCTACACAAATGGCATATAATGCGACACAAATAGTATAGACCAGTGTTTCTCAACCCAGTCCCTGAGACCCCCCTCCCCCCAATACAATCCACATTTTTGCTCCCTCCAAGCTCCTAGCCAGTCAAGAGCTCTGAATTCCTGGTGCAGGTGTGATGGGAGCTGCCTGGGGCTCCCTGACGACTGGGTTGAGGAACACCAGCATAGTGTGTACTACAGAGCCTGTAGTACTGAAGGGGGCTCCGCCTTTGCCCTTTGCACCGCCCACCTCTCATCCACCTGATGTTTGCTCTCCCTCCTTAGGGCAGTGTGGCGTTATGGAGCAGAAGGATGAGGGGGGGCAGCAGCTCGACCTGCCCTGTGGGGCCCAGTGTCAGGCGGGACATGCGGGGCTCTGCGAGTGAGTGATGTCACCATGACTCTTTCTGTCAGGCCACTCAGCCTTCTCAGACTATTAAGCACAAATGTTTTGGTGTCTACGCTCCAGGAAGCACTACAAAGAATACCTGGTCAGTCTCATCAATGGCCACTCCCTTGACCCCGCCCCCCTGTTCGAAAAGAATGACATCGTGGTGGCTTGTCGGAGATACCAAGTTGATGAACGACGGGGGGAGGTGGAAGACGACAATACGTATTGTGCCCGACTGCTGAAGGTATAACATTACTGTTTGATTGATGGACTTATCATATGTGTATGTGAATCTGTGTGTGTGTCAGTGTGGAGTATGTTTATATTACATAGTGGGGACCAAATGTTCCCCACAATGTAATAAAAACCTGTTGTTTTATAGTTGTGGGGACCATTTTTCAGGTCCCCACAGAAATCTGTGAATGCAACAAAACACTAAAAATGACAAAAGTCTTGTATTTACTTTGGTTACTTATGGTTAAGGTTAGAGCTGGGTAGGGGTTAAGGTCATCATGCTGGGATTACAGTTTTCCCCATAGAAATGAATGGAGAGTCCCCACAAAGATATAATCACAAACCTGTGTGTGTATATATATATATATATAAAGATGTGCATGTGGGGTGCAGGGATAAGCCAGACTTGTGTTGCAGTACTTGCTCTAATGTAGGGGTTCCCATCCTTTTGATGCCCACAACAGAGGAGAGTTACTAAATTTCAGTTTTTTTAGATGCGATCAGAATGCACAAATGTCAGGGATTGTTAAAAAAAAAAAAAAGGCATAGTTTGAAAATGTATAATACATCCTCTCCTCGTTTAGCGACCGAGTTTCGGTACAGCGACCAGCAAATGGTAGCTAAGTGAAAATCCCGGTAGCCAAAGCGTCACCACGACTGCTTACGGCTCTGCTTCAGACTTCCGTGCTCATTTTCTTTGATCCTTTATGAAGTGAATACTACTAACAATATTTTGTGCATTCTGTTACCGAGATCTCTCTCACCCCAGTGTACGTTATCAGGGGTACAAAATTTGGTCGTGAATGCGCGCATTGGTCGGAAAATGAATTTTCTTATTACGATCGTATTTGTGCGAGGTCGCTAACCAAGGTGGTCGCTAAACGACAAGTGGTTGTACTTAGCTTCTGGAACCTGACCACCCCCTCCTCAAAGCCCCCAGTATTCCCCAGTCCCGTGGAATGAAGCAGGTTGGGAACCCATACGGTACTTAGACTGGGCGCGCCGACCACATTCAGCTCAGGCGATTAGCACTCAGTGTGATGCAATCTTTGGCTCGGACCCCTGTGCCCCCGAGCGAGAATTTATGGCCGATTGTGAAATGCGTTAAGCCACTTCCTGGAGCATTTAAACAGGTATCTCACTTTTGGGAACAGGGAGTGACTTTAATCACATTTCTCCCATTTCCACAGAAACTGATGGACGAGGTGCCGATAGGGGACAAGGTCCCACGGATGAAATGAAGCATCATGTTGCTGTAACCTTAACTGTTCTAAGCCCAGCTAAAAGGTTTTCTTTCACATATCCTGACGGGGCATCTTGTTTGCCTTCATGTAAACCTACAGGGTGATTGGATTACTGGAAATCTTATTTTTCTTATTCTTAACACCTCTGATCAAACTAGGAAATACATTTAATCGCATTTACAACACATGAATTGTTGCAGATTAGCAAAAATTTTAGAGATCATTTAATTAAACATACATCGGCTAGAGATGATCTGCACTGCTGCTAATAGGGCCACCATTACAGCTGGAGCTCAGCTATAAACACACACAGCAGCATGTCACAACAACAGTCACCTGCCCCTGTCGGTGGGTTTCCTGAAGAGCTGCTTCTTGCACCATCTGCACATTAGAGGGCCCTGTCTCTGGGACAGTGAAGCCAGCACCCTGCCCTGCAACTTCGGATCTTCGCAAGCCGGAAATCCTCACAGGAGCCCGACACAGCATTTCAAAAGCAATCACACCCAACTAATCAAAAGCTCAGTTTTATGCCCTTTTCCACCATTTTGCTATTCTGCTAAATAAAGTTCTCAAATAAAACCAACAGCTGAAATGGCTCCTTTAATGGTCAGTGTACAGTGTGGCACACTGCGTTTTCACAGCTGTTCAGTGTGCTTTTTATTAATGTACCACTCTGAATCTCCACACCAAACCCAAGACACCGACAACCTCACAATGCTATAAAGCTGAAATACAGCCGAAAAATCCGCCCCTGACTTCTGGCTAAATTAAAGAAGGCAGGTAGGAACCAAAGTAATCAATTAAGAAAAGGGGGGCTTGAATGGTATACAGATAAATAATTATTCAATAATAAATATTGTGTTCTTTACTGGAGGTATACAAATATTTCTCTGTTTTAGGTACATACACAGTACATCTGTGTAGTGATATTTCTATTAAACAAAAGCCAATGCACTAACATCTAATACATTTCCTTCAGCATTAAAGAGTTTTGCTTTTTGCAAATGAGGCAAGACTCGAAATAGGAGGACGGACTAACGCATAACTGGGGATTCCCTGAAGTGACACTCTTGGCAACCGCCCTACCTTCTTTTGTTATCTACGGGATTAGTAGGCAGCTTTGGTCCAGCTCGAGAGCTCCCCCTAGCGGCAGAACGCGGCGTGCGACCGTCGGGCGCTTCAGTGATGTCACGTGATTTTTAAGAAGCGGAGCGGCTGGGGCGGCGCGCTGCATAGGATCTGGGCTGGGGGCGGCGTCTTCGCAGCCAGTCCACAGACAGACGAAGGACGGGTTCGTGCGGTTTCTTTTCTGTGTACAGGTAAGCCCGATCAAAGTATAATCTGCACTGGATATCGTACTAATATTTGATTGATCATTGGTTTAAAACGGTGGGAACGGCATTTACAGTAATTTATTCAAAAGTTTTTTTCTTCAAATGTGTAGCGACGTCACTAAAACTGTTGCCCGTGATCTTTAACTTCGTTTTGTGCATTTCCGGTGATGTTTGTATTCGCGTCATATGATCGGAATTCTCTGTACAACCACTCGACAAGTTTCGGGCATTTTTACTCTAGTTTTCATACACACAGTTTTTCTAAGTGCCATGTATAATAATGGTCAGCAAACACATTTATGACATCTGTCAAAAACTGCTCGCGAGCTCAGCTCCAGGATTGACAACAAATTGTAGACAGCACTTCCGTGCATTTGGCCGCCGTAGGCATGACGGCACTTTGAACCGTGTTCGTCCAGCATTGTTGAATAGGCAGAAAAGAGACATCCATCCCAGGCATGGCTACAGGGGGGAGAGTGCGCTCCACACGGAAGCTACGGTCCTGGATTGTGGAGCAGGTAAGTCTGCTGACTTTTTCCGATTTTAAACTGTTAATCTTCTGGATGAAACGACACCCCCCCCCCTAGTTTCTGCAAAATAATTCAGCAGCCAGACTCAACTTATTTCCTGATCTGCGTGCAGGTCAGCAGCGGCCGGTACCCGGGTCTCGTTTGGGATGACCCCGCCAAGACCATGTTCCGCATTCCTTGGAAACACGCCGGCAAGCAGGACTTCAGGAGCGACGAGGATGCTGCCATTTTCAAGGTTTCGATGCTCTAAAAAGACTGCTCCCAACTTAACATCTCGTCCCGCTGCCAAAGCCTTTCAAAGGCAGTACGTGGTACTCAGTGACACCAGCGACACACTGACACCCCCCCCCCACCCCCCTGCTGACAGGCATGGTCAGAATTTAAAGGGAAGCTCACCGATGAAGGCCGTGCAGACCCTGCCTCCTGGAAGACCCGCCTCCGCGTTGCCCTCAACAAGAGCTGCGAGTTCCGCGAGGTCAGCGAGAGGTCACAGCTGGACATCTCCGAGCCGTACAAGGTGTACCGCCTGGTGCCACTGTCCGAGCAAGGTGAGGAAGATCTCTTCCACACACAAGAACACGCACACACACCGGTGTCAGAATAACTCACGCATGCTTATTCACACTGTCACCAGGCACATATTCACACATATGTAGCAGCACATGGTAGCGAAAAAAGCTATAGTACACATAGAAACTGTGTTGGTTGTACTACTATATACTTGTGCAGTCACACACACACAATCCACATAGGCCACACTTATCTTTCTAGCCTCAGTGATTATTAATGTGTGGGCTTGGTTAAAGGACTTCTCCCTGGGATCAGTAAAGTATATCTTATCTTAATGATCACCAAAGTGAAAATGTCGGATGCAGAAGCACAGTCCCACGTTTCTGCTTGTCTTTCGAATGGGCATCGAACATGCATGCAGCAGAGATAAACCGTGTGTGAACTGGGTTCTTCTGACCACCTGGAAATACAGACATACACTCATGTGGCTAGCTGATACCATGGCAGGGAATGTGTTAACGAGGAAGGCCTGTCCTCGGGACCCACTGTCCTCGGGACCCACTGTCCTCGGGACCTGGTAATAAGAACTTGGAAACAGAGGAAGTCTAGATGATCGACAGTGATAACTCCATGTCAGCAGAGTCTCGTGGCTGGGGAGTGAAAAACTAATGATTGCAAAAAAACAAATAATAATAATAGACCTTTCAAAACTCCGCTTTCATCCCACGGATGAGCAGAGCCCCACCCGTGTGAGTAACCCTAACCCTAACCCTAACCCTAACCCTAAACCACACAGCTATCGAGGCTGCAGGGTGGCAGCCGGTGTTTTTCCGGTGCTGCTCACTTCGCCGTACGACACTTTCTACTGACGCTGTGCAATGGCAGCATCTACCCAGCCACCATTCCAGTCTCCGTAGCTATTGTGAGCGTCAGCATCTCACACATTATTTAACAATGAATCATAGTATTTTTTTTCCTGTTTAACCAAGTAAACTTGTATTGATTTTAAATTACTAGTATTTAGTTAGGTATAGTAATTATTCACGTATTCAGTGACTAGTTATTTAGTCACTTACAATGTTTTCCACTTACAATGGGTTCACCGGAATGTAACCCCATCGTAAGTCGAGGAGCATCTGTATTGGGGTGGAATCAAGAGGAATGAATGGGTATGTTTTCATAGGTGTTCTCCTTTATGCGGGTTCTCTTTCCTTGCTCTACCTTCTCATCCGGGTGCTGTGCCTGAGGCATAGCGAAGGGGATTTAAGTTCTCCTTGTGTTTACCTTATTTGAGGTGGAGTTGAGGATTGTCGTCATCCACATAAATAGTCACTTAGCAGCAATATAGCATAATCCACAGTGCAAAGGAGGAAATAGTCAGAGAAGCATTGCATAAGGACAGCTCAGGTATGGTCAGGGAACCCAATTACAGAGGCCATTAGCTTTGCTAGTACTGTAGAAGCTACACTGAAAAACAACTTGATCTTGCTGCAAGAAAATTACTTTGCATCAAGGCAGCAAGGAAGTAATGCAAGGGTGAGATCAGCCATGGCGCACTGAGGAACTGCTCTACACTTGTTTTGTGACTCGCATCAGCATGATATGAGTTAATACCAGACACCCTAGATCGAGTTCTCAGTCTTGGCCTCACAGCTCACCTTGTACGCTATTAATTAAACAGGCTTCGTTATGCAAACTTGTGAATGCATCATGCTAGGGGATCTGAATTTTTAGCTATTGTAAGATCCAACTGTATATAAACTGTATATAAATCTAACTGTATACAATACTGTGCAAAAGTCTTAGGCAGGCAAAGAAAATGATGTTTAGATTATCCTTGTGTTGGTGTAAAACTATGATATTATGCCTGTCAAAGTGTGTCAGCTTAGCCATTTCAGAACCTCTGCTAAAATCATCCCAGTATTTGCAGTGACCGTCCAGTGCAGCCATGTATTTTTTGACTTGGCCACTAGCTCACCCCATACAACTAGTCAATCTGTCACTGACTTTTTATACCAATTTATTTAATTATTCAATTGAGCTGTTGGTGAAATTTAACAAAATCGTGGAATGGCTGAGGTGCCCCTGAGGAGAGGTTTGGGAACTGAAGCGCTGTTCATCTAGCCATCCAACTAGATATCAGGAACTTTTTAGAAAACAGAAGAAATTATTACTAGTTTCTATTGTGTTACTCTTAATTTGCATATGTTCTAATGTTAAATTGTGTTTTTTGTTCTAAGCCAAAGTACACTTGCCACCCAGATAAACAGCTTTAAACATTTCTTTGGACTGTCTAAGACTTTTGCACTGTATTGTTTGTATAAAATACTTTTATGTATTTATATTCCCTATGATCACCAATTTAACTAAATATATTTAGGTTTTTCTTAACACTGTTTAGACCCGTGGCCTGTACTACGAAGCGGGGTTACTGGCTTATCGGGGTAACTTGTTGGATTTAAGGTAGTCTGGGCAAAATATAAGTGAGCGAATATGAGGTCCATTTAAACTGTGGTACCTTAAATCCGACAAGTTACAAGGTGTGTATGCAGGTTTTTGGGATAACCTGTAGGTCAGCTGTTCAAACCCAGGTGTGAGGACTCTTCAGCCAATCAGTCCTCTAATTAGTAATCTAATTAGGAAGTTGCAGCGAAAACCCGCATACACAGCGGCCCTTTGCGGATAAGATTGGCCACCCTTGGTTTAGACTGTTCTGTTATTCAGGTAGTTCTATAACTATAGATCATTAATCATTGATTAGCTGAAATACACGGTATGTTCTGTTTAAGGGGCAATATCAAAAAGATTTACTAGTCTATTCTCAAAATTTGTAATTCTGAGCACCACTGTGATCTGACGTGACACTTAAATATACCAAGTAATTTTGTTTTGGGGGGGTGCCTTTTCTAGATATAGCTGTGGGGGGTTTTCTCTGTCTGACTGGCTGGTGCTAGAGGCATTGAAGTAGCAACCATTCCTGGAACTAATTTATTTCGAGACGTGGATATAATTGAGAAGGATTCTAAGCTGTGAGAATAAATGTACATGTGTAGTGATGAGCACTTACCAATGTGTACTGATTCGTCATGTTGGACAAAGCATTTGGCAAATTTGGCAATGGCCGAAAAATTCAAATTCATCTTGCTTCCAGGAAATTACCAGGTAAATATAAAGAAACGGCCAAATGTTCTTCTTCTAGGTTGCAATGGTAAGACCACCTAGTGGTATCCAGCTACAGCAATAGATACGTTTTGCTTGCATTCACCTGCTGGCATCTGCCACTTCAATGACGACCTCTGTGTCCCCTTCCCCTTCAGGGATGGTGGAAAACAAAAAAAAGACAGGAGAAGGAAAGAGAAAGAGATCCCAGTGTGGCAGAGAGGATAAAGCGATCAAGGAGTTAAAAGAGGAGGAGGCTGCCGTCCAGCCAATCATCTCAGTAGGTTTACCCGTGATCTGCAGGGTATCATCCCTCTGTACCCGCCCATTGTTATACTCTTAGCCGCACTGGCTGCATAAAAGCTTACCTAACCTACACACTCAATTCTCAGTCTGTCCAGCAGGTGGGTGATGATGATAATAGCCCACAGACGGAGCAAAGCGATTCAGTGATTGTCCTGAAAAACGCCGATTGTAAGTCCTAGCCCCCCGGCCCTGTCCTCGTGTGCTTGTCTGTGAACCATGCACGCTATTTTCCGTTCCTTTTCCCCCTTGTTTAAATCAAACTGTCAGAAAGACCGCTCTACTTTGCTCAAAATGTGCAGTTGAGTGAAGACCTGGAAAGCGACATGGTGTAGATGACATTTAGTCCAGAACACCAGAGGCAGATACAGATTTCAGATTCGGCCTCCAGAGGCGAGTGCACAGCGATGAGAACCATTTCCCAACAGGAAATGCTCTCTCATAAACTTTGGTACAGTTTGTTTGGCAGAAAATTAAACACTAGATTACCACAAAAAGGGAAGGACAGGCATTTCGAATTCATAAACGGGTGCAGCTATGGTCAATCTCCTAACTCAAACTTTTAATATTTCTGGATCCCTTTTGCTTTTGAGGGCTGCATTTTCTTGGATATTTTTCCCTTTCCTTTACCGTCTTCTGCAGGGCTTTTGCAGAGCAGTCTGCTCACTGCGGCTCTGATGGAACCGAGCCGCTTGATGCTTTTATCCTCCTTGGTGTTAACCCCAAGTGTGACTCAGACTCTGAGTATGCAATGTTAAGTCTGAATAACGCTCAGGGCGGGATTCTGCTGCCATTTAGTGGTCTTTATTTATTTGTGTGTTGCTGACTGTTTCGAAACGTCACACAAAGGACACATTCCAAATTCTGCATCGGCACAGCAACGCACAGCAGTCATACCGTTCCTGCTGTAATCATGCTGACATTTTGGTATTAACATTTTTCTGTCACAAGTAATAAAATTTTCCTTGCTGGGGAAAAAAAAATGCGACGGTTATTGGGCGTTTTTTTTTTTTTTTCCTGGGGGGCAAACTTAACACTAAGGAGGTTAAAAGACTGATTAATAAATGCTGATGCAAATCACTGCATCCAGCTATGCCAAACGGTACCCTGCTCAGCCCAACCCTTTCCCGCTTAGGCCCCTGTAAAAGCAGGCTAATATACTAGCACTGACCAATTAACACGCAGCTAAGAGAACTCTCTTTTTCCTGTAGTGGTCAATGAGCTCCAGGTGAACTTGATGATTGAGACGGCGCCTCCTCTCGGAGGTAATGACCACCTGCACAATAACAAACATGTCGTCGCCGTGAGCCTCCTGGTGTTTCCTTCATCCTGCTCTTTATCTCGGCTCGTCCCCCCTCCACACTATCTCTCTTGCCACAGATTCATTCGTACTTCTGCTGCCGCTTGGTTCTCATAATTGCCGTAACCCATTAAGTATTTTGTTTTCCCTCCAGGCCAGCCTTGTCTCATCATCACACTTTACTACTTGGGCCACGAGGTTCTGAAGCGCGAGATCTTCGGGAATGATGTGCGGATCGCCCACTTCCCTTCTTCTCATGGTACCACGGGCTCCCTGGGTTTGGTGGGCATAGAGCGCATCGCCCTGCCCAAGCCCCCACCTTCCCTGTTCACGGGCAGGAAGGAGCAGGCTTTCGCCTCCTTGCTGCCATACATGGAGAAAGGTGTGATGCTGGCCTCCACCAAGCTCGGCATCTACGCCAAGCGCTTCTGCCAGGCCCGGGTGTTTTGGACCGGGCCGCACACTTCCGAGTCAGGCCCGCACAAGCTGGAGTGTACAGACCACCCAGTCATGCTGTTTAGCAGACAGGCCTTTCAGCAGGGTGAGTACTAAGCTGTCCGCGATCGTCACACTTCTGCTAGTAATTCTTACCTTTGTTAGCTAAGTGGCACGACGCCGCAGACGACTCCATATATGGCATTAGCCGTGGCGGTGCCGGCAGCGCTTTATATAGCGATAGCCAAATCGAAGCTAACGACGGCATATTTGATGTTAGCCACGGCACTGCTAACAGTACCATATGCAACGCTAGGCCACAGTGCCACTAACGGTGCCGTGCGTAACGTTAGCCGCGGAGCTGCTAGAGCTGCTATCTACCCCATTAGCCACGGCTCCACTAGCGACATATACCGGTGTATACGCAGGCTGAGCATCCCTGCGTGATATATGGCGCCAGCCGTGGCGGTAATGTGACGTAAGGATGCCGTTGAGATAGTGTTTGTTCCTCCTCAGAGCTAGCGGTGTTCAGCCAGAGCGGAGGAGCACCGCCGAGGTGTGGGGTCACCCTGTGTTTCGGGGAGGAGCTTTCTGACACGGATGACCTCTCCAGCAAACTCATCACTGTCCAGGTACCCAGCCGCCCTTGTCTCTTCAAGACACTGCAGCCACTCGTCACAAGACGCCCTTGGATTAAAATCTGATCCTGGTTTGACTTATCAGACTTACAAAACTGGATGGAAATACCAACAAGCCGGGTCTGCGGGGGCTTATTGAGGTTATCAGCCAGGGATATGGCTTAGATTTACTGAAAGGAATTGGGGACAGGCTGTGTCTCTCCTGGGGGAATAACGGTACAGTTTCCCCGTGGTTCGGGATGTATCACGCATTTTGGACCATTGTAACAGTATAGTTTCAGTGTTTTTGTAGTTAAAAAGAAAATTTAAACAAATGACCCTCTGATTAAACAATGAACTCTTTATTATTCCGTATAACAACTCTCCATTGTAGAAAAATGGCAGCATGACTAACTAGGCCAAGTGTTTGTCTCTACTATATGAAATCAAGGAGAGAAAAACATAAAAAATTTAACTTTGACAACCTGTAGGTATTTTTTAAATGGACGGTTTACCTAGTATGTACTGTCCCTGTACAGGCAATATTAAATTAATGTTTAAAGAATTTTTTTAGAATACCAAATCTTATCTAAGGAAAAATATTTATTTGACAAGAACATACCTGAAGCTAAGTATCACTGTTAAAAAGCGACCGCAGGGAATCACAGCACAGCAAGTGTAGAAAGTTAGTAAATATTACAAACCCCACAGCCCAAGAGAGCGCAGAATGTTTCTGATGCAGCAGAGCCACATAAAGGGGGCAAAAAAAACCGTATTGTGGTGAGTGATTGAGTCATTTTAATAAAGGAGATGACGGCTCTTTCAGAATGAAATGCTTCTCTTATTAGCAGCCACTGTGGGTTTAATACTAGCAGACAAACAGACAAGGAAACCAACACCTTACATGACATTCATGGTTATACTCTAATGAAACACACGCATTCCACACAAATAGTGCACAAATACCCATATTAACTCACACCATTTGAAGATACGCACGGTGTGGTACAAAGAATGCCGGCTGCTGATCATATTGTCACATTATGTCAGCCAATTGTCGACAGTGGGTGGGATCACCGCTCGTATAATGTTGTATTGCTGAAATGACGTCGATTATGTTTGAAGTATGTGGCTACCTTTACCTCTGCTGTTGTATAATGACATTTAAATTGTAGCCCTCGAAAATAAAATAATTCTAGCCCCAGTTTTTTCGATGGTAATTTTTCCCAAAATTGGCTATTCGCAGCAGTACGTATAGGGAAATGACAGGCATATCGTAATACAGCGGTTCACGCATAGGGGCAATAAAAGACCGTGTACCCCTAATTTCTCCCATGTACACAAAGTAGAGAAAGACCCAGAAAGAGCATAGCCACTTCTGGGAAATAAAATGAAGGCCCCTTCTTCTGCAGGAAGAATCTTCTCAACCAGTCAGATATGTATGGAATAAAGACATCGAGTGCAAGTCAAAAGTCTGGACACTCCTGCTTTTAATGTGTTTCTCTCTATTTTGGTTATGTTATTCGCCTTGTAGTAAAAGGCAATGGAATATCGCAACAACCAAGAGACGTGAACAACATCTCACAATGTTTAGGAAAATTACCCCCTTTTGCTTCCGTGACAGCATTGCAGACTCTTGGCATTCTTTCAGTCAGCTTTCAGATGTAGCCACCTGGGATGCTTCTCCAGTAGTCCTGAAGGAGCTTCCACAATTTCTGGCCACAAGTTGGCTACCTTGCTCTTACTCAACTCATCCCAAAGCAGCTCTTTGGTGTTTAGGTTGAGAGATTGTGGAGGACGAGTCATCTGTCACAGCACTCGATCTCTTTTCTTGTTAACATCATAATACAGTTCTTGCATAACCTCAAGATGTGCTTAGGGTCGTTATCTTGTTGAAAAACAAATGATTTTCACTAGGTGTGTCCAGGCTTTTGACTGGTACTGTCCTATGTAACTGTACCACACTGCCAACATAGGTGCTAATCTTGTGATCCATGAGATATTTAGATAGTAAACTGGGGTTACCAGCAAAACTTCTACATGAGATATACTGTTTAAAACATTTCTGGAAGCCTCATCCTTCTGCCAGTTTCTTATCACTGCTCTCCCTGGCTGTTGACCGATACTTTACACTCATAAGATATTCCACATTCTCTTCAGACTCCGCTGCAATACTTAAAGCTCTGGTACCTGCTCTCCAGTTCATCACTCCCTCCTTCCTCAGATCTCCCTGCCGTGGGCCATGCAGACCATCCAGCAGGCCCAGTCTGTCCAGAACTCGCTGGCTATCATCCAAGACCTGACCAGTCAATCTCCGCTTGGCGAAGTCACTCTCAACCTGGTGTCACTCCAGTGAGAAGACACTTCTGGCAGCAGTGGAATGGGGATCTCATAGTGTCTGCCCAATTTCCTACTGGAATCAAGGCTGGGGTCCTGACACACCTGTACCAGTCCAGCTGCTGGCCCTGCCACAAGAAAAATCCTACTTTCCATTATTATTATTATTTCATACTGGATAGCTGGATTGGTACACATAGAGACCTCATAAGAGCGCCCCTCCCCCCCCAAAAAGACATAGCGTACACAATCAGATGTCATGGAGAATGCACGGATTGTTGTCCTTTTGAGATCACAGGGGTTCGAGTCCCAGCAGGACATCATCAAAGGACATACCACCAGTAGAAGGAATATCGAAGGGCTACCCTGAATCTGAATGCTCAGCCTGCTGGAGGATAGAAACCCACAGCCTAGCAGATGAAGTATGCAATGAGGTCTCGACCCATTAGAGAAATCATCATACTCTCTGAGCACTTGCATGATACTTTATCTATAATGTGGTATGTTTATTTCATAGCATATTATCAAGATTAGTCTGGCCAGATTTAGCTTTTCAGTTAAAAGCCCACATTAAACCACTAATACAAAGTAGGGACGTTACATGCATAGTGGTGAGAAATGTAAGATACTTTGTGCTGGGCTCTGAGATGAAGGTCCAAGGAATGAGAAAGTGCTGCAGGTCCATCTCACAAGAGGGAATCAGCAGGGGACATCAAGGTTTTTCTTCTGTGGGTTCCTGCACTACTAGAGACCTCAGGCATGGAGGCTGCAGTTTTGTGACTCTGAAACGCGACCCTGCTATGCCCAAGCTGCCGATATGTTGGGGATAGACAGACGCCCCCTTCAGGCAGGCCAGCAAACCAGGCCCTGCCGAAGAGAGGGACTGCGAATCGAGCGTTTGTCGCTAATAGTCGTGTGCAAGTCGTACAAGCTGTTTGCATGGTATTTTGCAGTGCAATGTGGTGAAAGAATAAGAAAAACCTGCGCACGATCATTTTTTCATTGAATATTGCATGCAAGTCACGAATATGCATTTTCCAGCATAAGTTGGAAGTTATGAGGGGAAAAGAGATATAAGCAGATTCAAGATTCTTTAATTGTCACGTACATAGTTACACAAAGTACAACACGTAGTGAAATGCATCCTGAACCGCTCTTTTGCAGACTGCGCAAGTTGCTAAAGTTAAAAAGTGCAAAAAGCAAGCTAAAAATGCAAGCAGAGGAGTATGTTCAACATGAACGTAACCAGACATAAAAGTGACCAGTGTAACAGTGCGGATATGGTGAGGGGTACAAGAGCACAATGTACATCAGGGTGTGAGATGCAATGGGACGTCCAGGTTCAGAAAGCTTATGGCCTGGGGGGTAGAAACTCCTCCTAAGTCTCTCAGTCCTGGTCATGATGCTCCTGAGTCTCTTTCCTGATTTCAGAAATTGAAACAGATGGAATTATTATTGTATGTCAATTACATTACATGCATTAATGAATTCTTTTTTTTGCTTGCATCTCAGTTTTCCAGCGTAGGATAACAGACATACTTTTGTCTAATATACCCTATGCCAGCTTTGAAGCTTGCCAGTGCTTATTAGCGGAATAGCGTTACGTCGTGGAAAACTAAAGATCGATCTGGTGGCCAGGTCCTGTACCGCACCGTCGATCACCCCAGTACTTAACAAAATGACATGTTCACCATTCCATTACTTTGGGATGGTGATGTTGTGTCGTATGAAATAAAGTTATATTTACACTTTATCCGAGTGTTTTTTTTGCATCTTTCTTGCTTATTTAGCATGAAAGTCACAGTTCCTTTTATGCGGTGGGTAAGCAACACACAAAACTTGACTTTCGAGACGGCCCAGCATCTCGGGACCAGGAACTAGGTTCCTGAACTTAGACAGGGAAGCACCTATTCATTCATAATTTAAATAGAGGATTATTTCAAGTACACAATCTGGACCAGGATAAGTGGTTAATGGATGGATTTTTATCAGTATGGGTTGTCATTTCAGAGTAGTTACGGTGTCACACTTGTAATTTATGCCATTTTAATCAGCACCCTAGGTAATAAGTTGTGAATTCAGTATGTATGTAACTATATAAATGACTTGTAATCTGTAACTGTTTCAACTTCCTTTTGCTAAACAAAGCCTTTTGAATAATGAACAGGACTACGGAAACCTAAGTGTCACACACGGGAGTGTAACCAAGCACCACTGGGAAGTGTCGAGGAGACACTTTTTTTCTCATAGGCTCTTTAACGTGGTTAGGAAACCCTGTGGTGTGGTTTCACTGATC